GGGCGGGGGACCGCGGCGGTGTGCCCCTGGTGTGTGGGGGGGGGGGGGGGTAGAAGAGGGAACAAGCCTCCTCCTCACCCCTTCTGCCCCAGGGGGCCATGCTGACTGGCTTCTGGTCATGCCCAGCCCTGCCACTGCAGCAGTGATAGGGGAGCGCCCCGCAGACCCTGGCTCAGGTCCCTGCCAGGGGGAAAGGGAGGGGGGAATTAAATCCCTCCATGGCCAGTTCATCCCAGGCTACTGCTGGAGCAAGCCATGGTGGCAGAGGGGAGGGAGGGGGGAATAAACTTCTTCCCTGCTCTCTTCCAAGGCCAGCGTCTGGCCCGACCCTGCCCCTGCCTGTCTCTGGCTGGGGAGCAGAAGAGCAGGGCCCTGCTCTGCTGAAGCAAAGAACCCAACCCAGAGAGCATGCTGGGAGAGTGGTTTAACTTAAAATCAGGAAGGGATCTGGGATAGACATTGCATTATCCTGTTTGAGCTCAATCAATTAAGCCTGATAAACCTGGTTGAACGTAGCATCTCAAACTGGTTTTGGCCATTTTGAAACTGGTTTATGTGCACTGAACTTATGTGCTGTTACAGGTTTAAACTAGTTTCTGATCATTTAAACCAGTCTGTGTGAAATGTCTGTCCCTAGCCCAGCTGAACACTTGCATTCCTTCACACATTTCCCTCCTTTCCCCCCCATCTCTACCCACTGTCTTCCTAACTTCCATTCATCTGCATTTTCACAGACATCTTTGTTGTTAATTTGCTTTTTTTTTTTTCCTCCTTTTACTTTGGAGAACACATAACACCAACAGAGTCTCCCTATGCCTGAGGAAGAGTGTTTGTGATGGAAAGCTTGCAAAGACCTTTTTCCCAACATTTTAGTTGGTCTAATAAAAGATAAGTACATCTACCCAAAGAACCTTACCTGCCTGGATATAGTTATAGAATAGCTAAGTCACTATACATTTGTTCCCACAGGTATTTCCTCAGGGACCTGTACTCTGTCATCACCAGGAGTTTAAATTCAAAATTAAAAAACAGGCTGGCTTCTGACCTCATCTCTCCCAGTGTTAGGTTAGAGGTCTTCCACTGACTCCTAGTATATTCTGGCTGACTCAGCCTCCACGCGCCCAACCAAACCCTTCCTTCCCCCTCCAGTGATGTCAGGTCCATGAGCTACTTATAAGTTAGAGAAGTCACAATGTAAAAAAGGTCCTCACGTATGAAGATACATTCATGTCCAAATTTTAAACTGCATGAGAAATGGCTTTCCAGCCATTTAGGAAAAATTGCTCAGGTATTGTTAAACACACACAGATTCATCTTTACTCATATCAAATAAAGAGAAATATCATATTTTGCATCTTGCCATGGAGCAATCCTATTTGGTGGGGATACCTGCCCTGAATGATAATTCCCCTCCTGCCGTCTTCCGAAAGAACTGTGCAAATGCTACATGACTCCTTAATGCAATGCCTAGTTGAAGCAATCACTGATTCTGGAAACGTGCCAAGGGCCAATACCAGAGCTGCTGTTCCTAATGAATGATTACCATGTAAGGACAATTCAACAGAATTTGGCAAAAATCCACACACAGTATTGCTTGCAAAATATCTCAACTCATAGAGTAGTTTTTAACTTGTCCCTCATCCAGAAAGCTGACTAGATGCTAGGGACTGCATGAAGAAAGAAAAAACCAAAAACAACAACAAAAACCACTCTGATTTTAGAAAGTGTTCTGTGGAAATAGTTTAGATTTTCTTTTTTATTTTACCTCCCCGAATTCCTCGTAGATCTGTTCGATATAGGTTGTCCCTTTCCTTTCCTGAGAGGCCTCCCCATGGGTCTCAGACTGGTCACTCTCGCTCTCGTTCGTCTTCCGGCTGTTCTCGTGAGTCTCATTCTCAGACTCCTCTATGTTGTCTCTCTCAGACTTGTCAGAAAAAGCGTCATTTTCCAGATGCTGGTGGTTTTCCAGGGCTGACTCATTAAGACTGAAACACAGTTTGTTATTTTTTCCGTTTGACTTATGAATCTGGATTGCCAAAAGGTGTTTTAGTGTAGACAATCCCCCACCCCCCTCTAATCCTTGTGAGACAAAGCAAGGGCTGTAAATAGAAAAAGCAAGCAAGTAAGGAACCTGCAGAAATGCCAAGATCACACCACGCAAGCAATAAGACTTTTAGGTCGAACTTCTCCTCTTTGGTCTTCATTTTGTGGCTCTGTTGCATATTCTATACTAGGGATAGGTACAGACGTTCAACAAGCCCAAGGTAGAATTGATCTAAGTTATGCGGTTTTCTGTAAGTGATGTAGTTTAGATCAGTAACAAACAGAAAATACATTTACACTTTTGGTGGGCAGGAGAGGGGGGCACAAATCTTAGACTGGGTTCCACCATTTTTAAAATCAGTCTACGCATGCTGAACTTCTGTTCTGTTACAGGTATAGGCTGCTTTCTGATCTCTTATATTGGTAAAAGTGTAATGTTTTTACTTGGCCTGGATTTTTTACTCAGAATGCCCATTAACTTCAACTAAGAGTCTTCATATAGACTAAATGAAGAGTATGAAGCAGTTGCTGGATTTTGTTGAGTAGAGACCTGCAGTGTGGATCAAAGGAGATTTTTTGCCATAAGAACAAGCCAAAAGTAGGCAAGGAGGAGGACA